GTAAGGAGGGTCTTTTATTAAATTTAGATTTGTTGTACGAATACATCATTCTGAATTAAGGATTTAAAAAAACAAATCATTTTTATAGTTTTAGTTTTCCCGTAGTGACAGATTCCATGATATAAACCATTTTCTTTATACAATATACAACTTTATTATTATTGGTAACGAATTTATACATAAAATTTCATTCGAAAGCTACTACGTGTAAGCTGATATTAAATTTTATACATCCCTTTTTTTTGCCAATTATTACTCTCGACGGTGTACCCTCGAGTCCTCGAAATAGACTTTCGATGTCGAAATTTATTCAAGCACATGCAAAAAAAAGACCAAGATAGGTCGTCATTTGCACCCTATAAAAATGGATGAACTGAGGGCTCTGTCCTAATTTGTCGCTGCAAAGAAAAAAATTGCCCTTATTTGTTTTGCACGCTCCGCAGGACAAAATTATCAGTTTTGTCCACAGAATTTTCTCTACAGCTTTTATTTTATGTTTGCTCATTTGCCACATCATCATCACGTTTTCTTTCAATTTACTATTCTATATTCTATGCATGTATTTGTAAATCTGAATTTTTTGGTTGTTAGCAAATCATTTGCGAAAACACCTTTCAATATTCGCTTTTAAATTTTCATATTTCTCTTTGAACTTCTTGGTTATTGTTCTGCGTTCTCTAATAATCGTTTCCTAAACACAGTAAAAATAAATATCTCATAAAGTTTGTGAGGCTTTCGCGGCCCAGGTTTATTGATAACTGGTTTTCATTCGGGCTTAATAACCGTCGTAAGTTGGGATTTCTTCTTGAAGTTTCGCTAGCATGCGTGGCTAGCATCTTCAGAGGTGTTTTCATGTCCGATTCTGGTAGCAGACTGACGCGTTCCCGACTGTAAGCTGTATTTATGTGTTTGTGGCTGTGGTGGGGGAGGGGCGAGACTTCGCGGCATGTGGCTAATCTCATCTTTCTCTGTACTCAATGGGATCTTTCTTGCGTTTTTGAGGATCGGGTTCCAAATTTGGTTGTTGTAGTGTTTCTTCTTTCCTGTTGAAGTTCTCCGTATGTTTGTGGATTTCTATAGCTTCACGTACAAGACGATTGTGGTATCCGGAAGTCGGTGCAAGAAGCTTGACCTCACCAAAGAGTATTTCATGATTCCCTTCACTAAGCGCATGTTCCGTAACTACCGATTTTTCCGATCGTCCTAGTCTGCAGTTTCTTTTGTGCTCGTTCATTCTCTTTTTTGCTCGTTCATTCTGGTTCCCATGGACAATCGGAAGTTGCGGAACATGCGCTTAGTGAAAGGAATCATGAAATACTCTTTGGTGAGGTCAAGCTTCTTGCAGCGACTTCCGGATACCACAATCGTCTTGTACGTGAAGCTATAGAAATCCACAAACATACAGAGAACTTCAACAGGAAAGAAGAAAAACTAAAACTTAACCAAATCTGGACCGATCCTCAAAAATGCAAGAAAGATCCCATTGAGTACAGAGAAAGATGAGATTAGCCACATGCCGCGAAGTCCCGCCCCTCCCCCACCACAGCCACAAACACATAAATACAACTTACGGTTGGGAACGCGTCAGTCTGCTACCAGAATCGAACATGGAAGCACCTCTGAAGATGCTAGCCCCTTATCAAATATCTCATACCTCTATAGTCATTTTCCTTTTTTTAATTCTTTTGGACTCGTTTGTAAATTGTCCCAAATCAGATAATATGTATGCATCGATTTTTAATATATGTTTCTAATATTTGAAATGGAGACAACATTTAAATTATTTGGTCATATTGAGAACTTGCCCAGATCAAGACAAAAACTGCCTCAGATTTGTTCAGCTGGAGTTCATGAACGGAGTACCGAACAGCTGGGGACTGAAAAACTGGAAGAGAGTGACCTCGACCTCAAATCATTTTTCGAGATTAGGGAAACCGGGGATGAATCAACGAAATGTAGCGAAGAAACAAAAAACCAAGAACAAGGGGATTGGTCGATTACAAAAAATGCTGATCCAGAAGGTCAAAGTTATCCTTCAAACGATCGTTCTGCGCAGAAAAGGTAGTGGGCAACATCCCAATCAACAGGGAAACGGAACAAGGTAGTCATTCGTCTAGTATGACAAGGGAAGAAGAACCATACATACATAAGGGTAGTAGGATCTTGGAAGTCAGGAAGGCCGGGAGGTCATAGTCCACTTAGGGCGGGTATTATAAAACTATTTTGACAGAATAACTGAAAGTTAACTTCTGGAATGACGTTACTTCTTATGGTAATTGCAGGAGTTAACTTCTAGTTACCTGTCAATATAGTTTAATAATACCCACTCTTAAGGCCGGGACACATCTATCATGCATTCTTGCGATCCGATTCCGATCATACAATCAAGGTCTTTATTCTTGGAACAGGGGAGCAGCGGAACACTCGTTCTCCTGAAAACGCTGCTCCCTGTTCCAAGAATAAGGACCCTGATTGTATGAACGGAGTCGGATCGGAAGAATGCATGATAGATGTGTCCCGGGCTTTAGACAGGCATAGAGATGTTAGGCAAAAGAAGAGATTGAATCATTATGGATCTGAGTGATGATATAGACAAAGAAGAGGTGGTAGTCCGTCTTGGTAGCCAGATCGGAACTTTTTATTTGAGAGGGAGACAGTGTGACTAAATTGCCTCAGGAGTCCGGCAGGATTCCAAGAAATACAATTATTTACGCGTCGCGTAAACTATTCGGAGAATTCTATCCAAATAGGGCGCCAAGGGCTGGAACTCTGTAATGGTTAGAAATCGTTATACCTATCGCTATGGCACTTGCTGTCTTTTTCTCTCTTTTCGAAATCAATAGAGAGGGTACGTCGATAAAGAGAGACAGAAAATATCTCTATCCGTTACACAGTCCCAGCCCAGGTTTTTCTAGATAAATCCCAAGTACACTGTCTGCTTAAAATAGTGCGGAGTAGTATTAGGTTACGGCCGTATTCACCGTGAACTGGTAAAGTATTAACAGTTTGTTAAAGCTCCTAACAGAGGGTTAAATCATGTTTTGTTATTTACCAATGTCAGTTATGAGATATCAATATGTTAAATCCTCAGTTAGGTTATCAGAGCAATTTTGAGCTGTTAAAGAGTTTAACAAAGAGTTAATTTAGAAAGTATTAAAAGTAGGGTTATGATACCTAATTGTTTTCCTTGCATGTCTCTTAATTCCTATCAGTTTGTTGTATTTATTTTCCATATTTATCCAAAAATAAACAATATGGATAGACTTTTCAATAATTTATTCGACTCTTCAAGTTCCTCAAACTCCGATGATGACATTCCAGGACAGAGAAGAGGTCGAGTTGTGAAACAACTGAATGATCTATTTTATGAGCTGGATGAAGTGGAATTTAAAAAACGGTTTAGAGTAAACAAAAATACATTCCAGTATCTAAAAAACTTGCTTCAAGATATTGCAGAACCTTTAGACAATAGGAATAACCCTATTTCCAAAAAAAAATCAGCTTTTGAGGTTTTGTGCAACAGGATCATTCCAAATTAATCTTGGCGATCATTTCAATGTATCTCAGCCTACGGTATCACGGACTGTTGCTGAAGTAGCTAAGAATATTGCTGCATTACGTGTACAATTTATTAAAATGCCGGAAACTGAAGAAGAGCAAAGAGAAACAGTATTGAAGTTCTTTAATATTGCTGGTCTTCCTGGAATTATAGGTTTGTTTTTCATTAGTAATTTCATTGTTTTGCATTTATACCATACATACTCGAAACTTTTCTGCTTTACCAAACTACATATCTTCTAAAATATTGTTGTGTTCAGAAGGACACATAGGTATCACAAATCAAATATTTCCACAATTCAGGATCAGTAGACTGTACACATATAAAAATTCAATCCCCAAATCTCAAAATATGTGACATCGTGGCCAGATGGCCTGAAAACGTTCACGATACCACAATTTTCAACGATTCAAATATTAGGGCTAGGTTTGAAAACCAAGAATTTTCTCCATATTGTTTAGCGGGAGATGGGTGGATACTCTTGCAGACAATATTTATTGACACCACTAATAGATGCTCAAACACCCGCACAAAACAGATATGATAATGCTCAAATTGCATCAAGAAACCCGGTTGCTACGGCGGTGCTGCATAATATTTGTGTTTCAAGTTTCAAATAATGATGAATTAGAGCATCTAGACTATATTCCTGATAACATGGATGAAATTATTGGAGTCAGGAGCCAGGAGTCGTATTTTCGAATTTATTCGAATACATTTCGTACACGAAATTTGACTGACAGCAATGTAAATTAAATGGGAAGCATTCGAAATCGTATCAAATTTCGTATGCGAGAATATTCGAAAATACGACCACAGAGATGCTTTAATTGCCACAATTTTTTATTAATATATTGGATAGTAGATAGTACCTACCTATCTTTACCTGAAAATGTATAAAATATATATATAAGGAAAAAATATAAACATTCTTTTAAAATTAGTGTTTCAATCAAGTAAGAATTGAATAATGAATATTTATTAATATGTAGAAATAGCTAAATACTTTTATAATTAAATAAATATATTAGAGGTTTTATTAATACTACAGTTAACAAACTATATAGGTATTTAACATAAACCTACCTACAAAAACTAACAAACATCACTACATATTACATTATGTGCTATTTGCACCGCCATAACTTAAAGGATATTTAATCTATCAATCAATCAAGACTCACATTCAAAGTTCCACTAAGCTTAAATATCCCTTAAGTTATAGCCGTGTAAATAGCTGTATGATCTGCAAAATATTTTGGAAATAACTGAGATAGGTAATATAATATAATATAATATAATTGCAAAGTTAATTAAAATATATATTAGTGGACCAAACTAACATGAAACTGATCATTATAAAGTCCTACAATAATCTAGGAGGAGCGATAATATTTGGATATTGGAGTTTTTTTGCCTTTAATTCTATCAGTTCTTTTACTTCTATTATGGCTTTTATCTCATTATCCAGAATCTTTCCTTTAAGATTTTCCTCTTCTACTTTTATCATTATATCTAAGACTGATATTTTTTTATCTATAAGTTGATTTTTTTTATTATTTATCAAACCACCAACACTCACTTTTCCAGTGTTATTTATTTCGTGCTTGGAAAATTGCACTTTTCTTTTTTGTCCTCTTCTTTCTTTGTCTTCATTTCTGGGATTTGAATCACTTTTTGGAGTTGACATCAATGGCATTATATCATTAGTATTGCTTTCACTAATTTTTCCGTCGTTATGTAGATTTGTATCATCAATGTTCAGGTTGACCACATTATGTCTGTACAATAATATGCCTTTGCTTGATGAAAAATCATCTTTATGTGTCTCATTAGATGTGTTTCCATAATCTTCGTATATCACAATAATATTTTCTTCATTACCAATTTAACTTTTTGTATTGCCTGATTTTACTTCTTCAGATGTTTTTTGTGTTAATATTCCTCGCATAGAATATTCTTCATCTTCAGTCTTTTCTAAAACGCCATTGTTGGAGTCATGTTTATTATCAATAAACAAATAATTCTCTTTAATCAAATCCAATATTTTATCATCCAATAAGGTCATTTTGGGGATAAAGTTGCCTCCTCCAGTTTTAACTGATTCCATCTAAAAAATAAGCATAAGCAGTCTTTTGTGAGTCAAATTTGATGAACTGATAGCTCGCTCAAGTTGGCCCCCCACATTCGGTTTTGTATTGTTTCTTAATTGTAATAAATTGTGCTCGTTTTGTGCTCAATTGTGCCGGTGTTTATGGGAATTGTGCTCATTCTCATTACACCAAAAAATATTGAAACTAAATCCAGGCTCCAGCCAACTTGACCGCCGATTCCCCATATTTTTGAGTTTTTTGCAATGTTTTTGGCTCATTCAATTATGCTCATTTTGTGATCAATTGTGCCGGTTTAAGTGCGAATTTGTGTAAGAATTATTTACAAGGAGACTATTGTTATTGATATTGTTAAAATTGTATTTTTTTTTTTGCTGTATGGAAAAAAAAACAATTCGGCACAATTGAGCATAAAACGAGCACAATTGAATGCCAAAAATATTATCAAAAAGTCAAAAAAATGGGGGTCTATGTAGAGTCAAGCTGGTCTCCGAATTTGTTTCAATATTTTTTGGTGTATGGGAATGAGCCCTGATCTCATGAAAGCATATAGGAAAATTACCTTGTCTTCAGCCTTGTGCTGTTTGGCTGTTTTTTTCATCTGTTCATATGTAGTTTTTAATTAAGCTGCCGTCCTTGGCCCTGTCACTTACAGCGCATTATACTCATTCGCGACTCTTTCCCAATACTCATTTTTCTGTTTATTAAAAACAGAATTCGTTTTTTTATTTCCAAGATGTTAAAGTATGTTTTTACCAAAGAGATGAGAAATTCTTTTTCTCGTAAAGAAAAGTTGGAAGATCGTTTCTTGCTCGTCATTTCAAAACTCCAAACATTTAAAATTTAAATTCCTTCAAAAGAAATACAGGGTGTCCCAGCCGAGAGTGACCCATTTTAAATGATTATAATTTTTAAATCAGGTGTGCTAGCTACCTGCGGTTTGCGCCATTAGATTTCTCTTGGCCAAAAGTTTTTTTTTTTTAGTAGGTTGCAAATTCTTTTGAAACTTATACAGGGCGAATAACATGTTCAAGGTATCTATATACCAATAGACATCGTCCCTAAAACTTGAAGTTTTAGCCGTAAAAAATCAAAATCGAAATCTTGGTATTTTTGCTAACTTGATATCACTATGGCAAACAGTTTTGTAAGTGTCTAGTTAGATATCAATTCAGTTAATATACATTTTCCAAGAAAATTCAACGAGTTCCAGAGAATTTTCCAGATACCCGAGATACCCCAACAGTAACAGTTTGGTGTGCAATATCTATTGAGAAAAAATACAGACCATTCTCATCAATGAACCAATGATAACAGAAGCTTTATACACTGATGTGTTCTTTTTTCCATAGTTAGGACAGAAGCGTATTATTTTCAGCAGGATAGTGACCCCACCTCATTATTCTTCATCAGCAAGGAAATCACTAGATACGACATTTGGGGAAAGACGGATAAGGAGAGCTGCTCCTATAGGATGGACACCTTACTCTCCTGACTTGAGAGTTCCAGACTTTTATCTCTGGGGTTATGTCAAGGAAAGATGCTGTAATCCTTTGCTCAAATAGCTTCGAAGATCTTAAACGGAACATTTGTGATGTCATTGTAGCGATTCCCCAGGAAATGTTACACAATTTATTCAACCATTCACTGATCCATAAATGCCTGGAACAGAAAGGCTAACATATACATATACAGCATTTTGCATAATTTTATGCAGTTTTTATTAACTTTTTATTAAGCAAACATAAGCTCCAAGCTTTGTAAATGCGTTTGCAAACATACCAAGATTTCGATTTTGATTTTTTACGGCAACTTCAAGTTTTAGGGACGATGTCTATTCGTACATGGATACCTTGAACATGCATCTTTTTTTTTGACGTGGTGATATACAGGGTGTTCCATTAAAAATAGTGGAGAATTTCGATGTTAAAAAATGTTTTTTTTTATTCGACCTGTATAAGTTTCAAAAAAATTTGCAACATACTAGAATAAACTTTATGCCAAGAGAAATCGAATGGCGTAAACCGCAGGTAGCTAGCACACCTGCTTTAAAAGTTATAAGCATTTAAAATGGGTCACTCCTGACTGGGACACCCTGTATATCTTTAATTAGGCATATATATACAGGGTGGGGCACGAAAAACTTCCCACCCAGAGTTTCTCAGGTGTTAGGTGTTTAATCAAAAATCGCTCAGACACGTCAATTTTTGTTTTTTGGGCGACAGATTTTATTGGTTTGGGGTACCTGTCACCCTCACTTAGGGGTTGAAAGGTAGGGGTGAAAATACCAATAAAATGTGTCCCCCAAAAAACAAAAATTGACGTGTTTGAGCGATTTTCAATTAATCACCTAACACCTGAGAAAACCTGGTTGGGAAGTTTTTCGTGCTTCACCCTGTATATTTGTTTTGACCGGCTAAAATTGATTATTTACATTTTTGATGACATTTTCTATTTTCTAGGTTATGAACACAGGTCATAAATAACGCAATGAAGTTAGCTGGAAAAGCTTGCCAACGAAGAAATTTAGGGATTTTTGTTAAACACTCGGTTTGTTATCTAAATCTCAGTTTTCAATGGTGAATAGAAAATCCTTTTATCAGCCGGTTAAGTCGTAACAGTCTCTTTTTTATCAGGTTGTTTAACATGTTTTTGGTGAATACGGCCGTTAAAGTCACTTTTAATGCGATATATGTCTTGTATGTTTCAGTAATAAGTGAATATTAGATATATAAAGTCAATTAGTTCAATAAAAGTTGTCACTATTTGTGGAGTGAGATTTAGTGAACTTTGGAGAGTCAGTCTCAACCTGGCTGGATCAATGTTAGTAGTTAGTATTGAAAGAAGCAAAGATCATAAAGCCAATTCTTGAACGAAAAAGACAATAGAACAAAACATAAGCATGTCATCTAGATATAGGTATTTCTTTTGTCCAGAATATTCTCCACAATTCTCTTGTTTTCTAAATCTATAAATAATAAAATCTCATTTCTCTTGTCCTTTCCAAATCCATATTATTGGTCCTAGCGCAAAAGATGTGGTTTGAAACATCGTTATCAATAGTAAAATCAGATTACCCAATCCTAGCACGTCCAGGCTGTAACGAACAAAAGTTGAGAGAAATGTCACGCGGTGTTGGGGGGCCTTTTCCTCCTAAGGGCTAAGTGGCATAAATTTCATAAGAAAAGGGAGACGGAAATATGGGTACGCGACGGTAAGACGATACCCTACCCTACCTAGTTCCCGACTAGAAAATTTTCCTCGAATAATATTGAAATTGAATGAGGAACAAGCAAATTGGGAAGAAACGCGGAAAATGTGAAATTGATGTGGCGCATCCGGACAAATATGTTTTTATGATTTTTTTTCCTTTTTATGATATAAATCTGGAAGGGGAATATTGTCGAGGGATTTCGAAAAAACTGTTTAGGTACTTCAAGCTAACTTTTTGATGATTGAAGTAGATAAAATCAATTGAAATCAAGAAGAAAATTTCTGTTACAGAGTTCAAGATATCGATGGTTCATACTTTGAAAGCTTCACAGTCCTAGCATGGAAACAAGAAAACCAAAGACAAAGCGTTTTAAGAAACGCCGAAACCATAGCGTCGGAAGCACCGCCGCCCGAACAAGAATTAGGTATCAATCCCTTCGAGTACGGCGCCCAGCCGAACGAAAAGGACAAACTTTACGTGGAAATGCTATACACGATCGCAAATACGGTAAGATTTTTCACTTTGAAAACAAACACATTCATAATGATAAAAGTTCCCCTTCGGTAACCTAAAACTTTTTCCATCTAAAGTTTTTGCTGCCAAAGTTCCACATAAAAAAACTTTAGGGGACCATTAAGCTAGAAAAAAGTTCTCGGACGAAATAATTGAACACTAATAGGTATTTGTTTTTTCAAACGTTTGTTTTTAGGTGGGGGCACCAGCTCCTGGAGGCCAATACGCACATTACAAAGAAGACTTGTACCTTTACGGCCAAAGGGCATTTGGTACGCCCCCCGATCGACACTACAGAATGCTACATGTAGCTGGAGAAGAACAACCACCGATTGTTGTTTTGAGCGTCATTGTTGTCGAAGCCGAAGGATTGGAAGCAAAGGATGCCAATGGTAAATGAAATGTTGTTTAAATTCAACTCGTGAACCAATACACTTTATTCAAAGTCGCAATTTTTAACGAGCTCGTTTTAGCTGAGCCCTAAAAAGCTTTATTTATCTAACTACTTGTTGCCGTCATTAATTTGTTATGACCTGGTTTAGGTTTCGTTTTATGACTTCATTTCCTCGCGTAGCGTAGGTGTTTTTACAGGGTTGGTATTTTAAGTTAAGCACCTTTACTATAAGAGGAATTAGGCACTTTTCGACTGCAACAACTTTTACAATATATTAAGGATACATTATGAGTGGATTTTGGAGCAAACAATATATTCTCGACTATTCAGTTCCATCAATTTCCACAAAAAAAAAAAAAAAAACAACTCACTTTTTAACAAGTTGTCTGGCCTGAAGTATCTCGTTTGAGGTCTTTGGCAATTTGTTTTCCTTAACTGTATAATAGACTCGTAGTATTTTTAAAAGAGATCGTTAACGACTCTCAATTGTAATTTTCGCTAAGCTGGCAGTAGTTTCTATTACTACTTGGGCGAAAGCGCGAGCTTTTCACAAAAGCACCGGAGCTATTGTTTTTTTATCATCCCGGACCATAAAACGTTTAAACGCTTTTCCAGTTTTCAGTTTTTTTTGAGCGTCTATTTATGGTCTATTTAAAGGCAGAAACTAATTTGCTGTTTGAAATGTTAAGGGCGAGTATTATAAAACTCTTTTGACAGAAAACTGAAACTTAACTTCTGGAATTTCATAATATTTTTTCTAAGTTAACTTCTAGTTTACTTTCGAAATAGTTTCATAATACCCACCCTAAGTCAACTAAATAAATATATTCGTAACTAAAATTAATCGCAAACACCAATTTACGTACCAAAATTGAACATTATCCCCTTTCCAAAGACAAAATTGGGTCTTACAATTAGACAAACTCTGAGCAATTACTCTCTTCGGGTCTCTTCATTTCGTTTAAATTCCGTATTCAGGTTGATGTATAGTGTCTATTAATTTACTCTCAGCTTCTATAAGGCCCCCATGGGGGTGTGTGCACTATGTTTAATAAAGTTTCTTGTTTGTTACAGGATTCAGTGACCCTTATTGCATGCTGGGCATTCAGCCCATGGCGGCTCCGAGCTCTCCTCAGCCACTTACTCCCAATCGCACTTTGTCCGATGCCTGTTCGCCCTGCGGAGGCGTCGGGGGCGGTATTGGGGACATGAATCACAGTAGCGCCGGAGAAAAACTGAGAAAACATCATAGGTAAGGAAAGGACCACGTTCAAACATTATGGAAAAGTCATCTATGTGGAAATTCCCTGAATATTTTATGTCATTTAGAAGAAGTCTTCCTAATTAGAAGTTATTATTGTGCTAAAGTCCAATAATCAATAGTTTCGGAGATATTGGCTAATGATACTGCATAAATAATATGCCTCCTATTAGAATTTAGGTCTTTCAGGTAGGTTATGTCTTCTGTGATGTATGAAAAAAAATTACGAATTCCAGAAATAATTTTAAAATACCTCGAAATATTACTCACACAGAGGTTAAGCAATTTGGGGTGATTTATCAATTTTTCAATTTTTCTGAGTGCCTTTTTTCATAGATTTCGGCTTCAAATCTGAGAATAATTTAGTGTATGGAGTTTGGGGTATGTTGATTGACCATTAGGATACAAAATCTCGACAAAAAAAAAATTGAAATTTCATCGTTTTAGTAAGAAGGTACCTACCTACCTTATGGTTTAGATTTTGGAAAACTTTGAAAGGTCATAACTTTTTTTCTATTATAGACAGAAAGCTGAAACTTTCACTGAATTTTATCCCTTTCAAGGGACTACAATCCCTGGAAATTTCAGCTCATTTGCACTTATAGTTCCTGAGATAAAATCGTGTTAAACAATTTGGGGTGATTTATTTTTCAATTTTTCTGACTGTTTTTTTTTTTTTCATAGGTTTCGGCTTCAAATCTGAGAATAATTTAGTGTATGGAGTCTGGGGAATATTGATTGACTATTAGGATACAAAATCTTGACAAAAAAAAATTTGGAATTTCATCGTTTTAGTAAGAAAGTTGAAAGGTCATAACTTTAACAGAGGTTGTTTACATAGAAGAACTAGTATAACACTACCTAATATAAATGAAATGTTGATTTTTCAGTATTAGCTATTGATAATTTGACTCTAGCGCAATGGTAACTTTTGATCAGGAAGATTTTCTCTAAATTATATAAAAAATTCCAAGATTCAAACATAGACACTTTTCCATTGGGTTTGAGCGGGGTGCTTCACACATACGAACCAACCCATATTTGGTTATACACATGTAATTCTGCGTTTTATTTTTAAAATTTTTATGGTTTTGATAGACATTTCATAATTTTTCAAATGAATTAATTTCTCTTTTGAAAGTAGCTTTACTGAAGTTTACTTTTTCAGTTGCCAAACCGAAAGTAGACGGTTCCAGATCAAAAAACTCAAAATAAAGTAAAAGTTACCCTCCAAAGTTAAAAAAAATAAATCCCCAACCAATACACCTCCCGTCGAGCGAGGGTCATTTGAATTTCAAATTCCGTTGAACGATAACAAAAATACGTATACTTCGAAATTCCATTTGACGGGATAAAATGTATTATATTTCTTGGATTATTTCCAGCTTCAAGCTCAGCTTCAAGCGAAAAGAAGGTAGAGTCAGGGAGCACAGGGACAGTTTGGGCGGTGCACTCCCGGCCAAGTTTATTAGGGCGACGTCAGTCAAACCTCACACCCTCAACCCGAAGTGGAACGAGAAATTTCGTTTGTAAGTAAATAATAAATTTCTTGTTTTTCACCCTTTTAATTTAATTGAAAATAAAAAAATGATCATACAAATTTAATAATTTCTCATTAGTTGAAAATGGTCAGGAAACTGGTTGTTGTAGATTTGGACCAATCAAAAACGCTCTAACTTGTTTGTGATTTCTGTGGAAACAGACCCAATATCATTGTAGGGAATTTCAGCAATATATCCAAAATATTTTAAATAGAAATGCCAATAATTTAATTATATTTAATTCAACCTATATAAGCCCGAAATTAAATACGCCATACGTAGAAATGCTGCAAAATTAATTTAAATTGAAAATTTAAATTTGAAAAAATGATTTCCAACCCCTCAAACTCCATCCGGACACGATTCTAATTTGAAACTAATCCTCCAGGAATCGGGCGGGAGCGTTTAAGCGTGCAGATTATTTTGTTATTTTTCTTTGTAGCCGAAGCCAATTACCGGTACGGCTTGTTTTAATTGACAGTTATTGCTTACGGAAAAACAGATTGGAAAAGATGAAAAAGTATGGCATACCTCCATCATGAAAATGGGTTTCTGTTATTTCTTATATACAATCTTAAAATTTGATTTAGGGCTGGTTTATTTATCTGTCAGGTATTTAATCTGACAGATGAAAACGCAATCTGGAATCTTATTGGTTGGCCAGTTGTCCGCCGACCAATAGAATTACAGAACGGTAAATTTATCTTGCTGATAGTTACCAGTAAGTTTATACAAAGATGAATAAACCGGTGCTTAATATATTAAATTAACAACAACTCCTAGAAAGGCATAGCAGAGCATCACATCTTTTCCTTTAAGCTTTCATGATATCACTTTCCTCTTTAGGATGGAACCTCTTTCATATTTGGTTTGTTATCTGATCAATTCTCAAATTTTAAATTCAAATCATAGAAATCGAACCCCGATTGACATGATGAACTTAATCTCTTGCAGTGATTATTCAATATTTTATTTTCACCTTCAAAGACCATTCATTGACGTATAAGGAATAAAATGAAAAATCCTATTTGGTGATAAGCGATCGCCTTCAGCGATAATATCCATAGAAAAGGCTTTTAAGTAAATGAGCCCCGGCCTTATCTCATCCTTCATTCTTTCTAATGTCGAAAATCCTATGCCGGTGAATGGGTAAATTCTATCTAGAAAGCGAAATAATTCACGCCCTACTTCAACGATATCAGATTATAGTATGCGGTTGTTTATGGGCGTTAGAGCTCGGGAAGCATTTCAAATAAATATTTGATTATATAAGGTCTAAACTGAATAAACTCACTGGCCAACTTGATTAAAATTTGTAAACCAAAAGCATAACTCCTGAATGGCGAATTCAAACAAAGTTATAGCTTGTTTATCGTCACAAGTCAAATACATTGTCCCGAAGCTACCAAAGCCATTAATGGCATCGTTTGACCGTTGTTGCGTAATTTGGCTTCTTGCCAGAGTTTAATTTTGTACACAAATTGGGTAGAAAGTAATAACGGAAAAACTACCCAATGAACTAGTGAATATATTTGGTCAACATCTGGGCTTGAGCTTGTTTGTTTTTGGCTGAAAGCTTTTACACTGGTATAATAAGCCGAAAAATTCAATAACATTGTTAATTGTTATGTTAAAATTGCATTTTAGGCGTGACCTAGTAAATGAGCGAACTGAAAAGTGGAAATTTCATGGAATATAAAGTGTATTATATCAAATCGAATTGGAAATTTATTATCAATATAATCGCATGTGCGTTTTACGAATGGGCGGATGTTTTAACGAATTTATTGATGCAAAGAAATATTGAATATTAAATGAGTGAGTTAAAAAGATATGAATGGATAGGGATAAAAGAGTGAAAAAATAGGAGAATTGATATCCCATTAATGATGGAGGAAAGAAGTTTATTTAGCAAAAAACCTAGTTTCGCCTTTTCGCGACGTTTTTCTTGGACTAAGGCTTTCGGTTTGAAGATGCATACCATTATAACATGTAGTTATCGGAAACAAGAATTATTGGATGATGAATGTTGTATATGGGTTCGGACTAAGTAATGCAATAAATTATTAGGTAGAACTATATATTTAAATCATGAAATTACAACATGAGTTGACCTGTGGTTAGGGATTGCACTACCGGTTTACTGATTTACCGGTTTACCGATTTACCGCCTTAAAAGTTCTTTAAATTACCGACGAAGAAATCGACATCTTTTACCGGTAATTTCGGTAAAAAATGCCAAGCTGACAACAGCGCGGATCCGTTGTTTCTATGATGCAGGGCAGCGTGGACGCCGGACGGGATGAGTCGTAATCGTAAACAAAGATTGAACGGGAACGCAGGTAGCGGCATGTTAACTGTCAAGTGAGGATTGTGAAATATTTAAGCGCTTAAATTTGCATTCAGTACTTAATTCTGTGAGTGAATTTGTACTTTGAAGGTATAATTATTTTATTTTAAATGAAGGTAAGTAATAAAAACATGTTTCTTCTTTTCCTTGCAGTTGTTGCCAATAGCAAACAATGGATACAACTTCTGTTTGGCACCATTATAATAAAACTAAGGATGGGGGTGTGTGTAAACTTTGTTCCAGACAAATTAAAGCTGCCGGAGGAAGCACTAGCGGTTTACGCAGTCATTTAAAGAGTCAGCATGAAATAAACGTGTTAAAAAGAGGAAAATCTATACCTTTATCTGGCATTCCTGGAAAACGCAACAATCAGCCTTACAAAGAAATATCTACAATTACGTCGTATTTTAAACCGACTGTAGACGATTCATTTCCAGCAGTAATTGCACGTTTGACTGCACTGGACGGTTTGCCATTTAATAAGTGCTGCACTTCAGAAGATTTAAGAAAATTATTAAAAGTAAAAGGTTATAGAGACATACCGAAATCACCAAATACCATAAGAAAAATTGTTTTGGAATATTCTAATAAAATGCTTCAAGAAGTAACAAATGAGTTGAAAGAGAATAAACTTCGGGGAGAAGTGTTTAGTTTGACTTTCGATGAATGGACATCGGTAAAAAACCATCGCTTCATGAACATAAATGTCCATACAAAGGATGCCTTTTGGAACTTAGGATTAGCTCGGGTCCATGGATCCATGCCAGCGGAAAAATGCGTGGAGATTTTGAATAAAAAGCTTAGTGAGTTTCAACTTGGTTTTACAAACATTGTATCGATTACTACAGACGGTGTTTCAGTAATGAAAAAAGTTGGAAAATTGATAGATCCACACCACCAATTATGTATAGCGCATGGCATACAATTAGCCGTAATTAAAGTATTATACAATAAAACTGATTTACACGATGCTGATAAATTACGTGACGAAAATATCGATGAAGATATTGAGCCCGACACAGGTAATGAATCTGATTCTGAATATTCCGATAATGAGGAAAATGAAATTTTAAACGACAATTTGGAAATTGAATACGAAGCTGGTGGAACCATCGATCAAACTCTGCCAGTGCCAACTTTCTTATCAAATATCGAATTAAATAGTTTAATTACAAAAATTCGGAAAGTCGTTAAAATTTTTCGCAAATCACCGACTAAAAATGATAAGATTCTACAAAAACATGTAAAAGAAGAATTTAATAAGGAATATTCTTTAATACTCGACTGCAAAACCAGATGGAACAGTTTGTTAGCAATGCTGGAAAGATTTGAAATGTTAAGAAATTGTATCAGAAAGAGCTTAATAGACATTAAATCAGAAATAAACTTCACAGAAGATGAACTTCAGTTACTATCTAGTACAATTTTAGCATTGCAACCGGTAAAAGCTGCAGTAGAGCAATTATGTTGCGAAGATTCAAATCTTTTTGTAGCTGATATTATCTTAAAATTCATGATTGATGAGCTTACAAGTCAAAACACAGTTTTAAGTATTGAACTGAAAGAAGCATTGTTAGATCGTATAAAAGAGAGACGGACCATTTATTCTGATGTTCTTCAGTACCTGCATAACCCGTTTCCAGAGGAATCCAGTGGTGAAGATTATGGAGTATTTAATAGAACCAGCGAATCTACAATAAGAAATGCAATAGTGGAAGTAATTGGGCGGATTTCAAAACAAAACCTAGAAGAGTCATCAGAAAATACAAATAGCATTGACCTCGATGATTCGTCTGATAAGGATGAGGATAACATCCCCCTCAGTCGGGTTTTGGGCCCATCAACATCAAAATCGGATAATGCTGAATTGTCGATTAAAGAAAAACTTCAACTAGCGATAAGAAAGAAAATTGATGTAAACAGTACTCTTCCAATTAGAAGACAGCAGGATAGGCCTAACATTCATCAATGTGTGAAAACAGAAATGCAATATTTTCGGAAGGAGAGAATTCAGGGGAAATACTTGAAAATGACTTTCGCAGCACTCATGACAACTCGGCCTACTAGTGTGGAGTCCGAAAGAGCCTTTTCTGCGGCAGGAACAATTTGTACTAAGATTAGGTCGCGGCTTAGTGATAATAGTATTGATAAGCTGTGTTTTCTAAGGGCCTTTTTTATTAAACAAAAGAAATCGAAAGAGTCGTTGGAAAAGTAAGAAACGATAGATATTTTTTTTATTTAAATTACTATTTCGAATGTTTTAGGGCCTGATATTAGACTTTAAGTTAGGTATATAAGTTTTTTTTTAAAGTTCACCAAGAGTTTTACTTTTCTGTTGTTATTATTTAATAAGAATAAAAGTTTGTTTATTTATTTTGTGGCTTATTTCTTTGTTATTTTTTTTATATCGGAAAAAATCGGTAAATACCGGTAAATCGGTAATTTTTTAAATAATTTACCGAATTATCGGTAAATTAAAATTCGGTAAATTTGCAATCCCTCCTGTGGTTGACTGACTAACTGACTGACTGAATGACTCGTCATCAGGTGGTATCTTTGTTGAACTACTCATAACATTACATCCAAAATATAAAAATTACGTTAATGTCAATAACAGAAACAGAAAATCCTAAACACT